GGCGCGAACAGGAGGGCATTCTCCCTATAGGCCAAGTGCCATAAGGACAGGTGAAAAGGTATCTTCTCTTGATCTTCAGAGCAATGGGTATTTGAAAAGTCATCCTGTAATACCATCCAACGAAGGCAATAGAAAGGGATAACCTCGCCAAGTCTTTCAAGCATTGTGATCAAATAAAGGTAGGGGAAAGTGGTCTTACGTGTTTGCTTTTGTTTAATTTTCTATAATTGCAATGCAACACACGCCAACCCGTGACTGTTCTACGTAGGAATTAATTTCATTGTTTACATTAAAGATGACAGTGACTTCCCTTCTTTGGCACAACTTGAAAATAGGAATTCCCCGCAACTGCTATCTGAGATTGGAATAGATAAATTCGCGGCATCCAGAAGTTTAATGACTTACAGCTTTCACCACTCTCCTTCATAGGTTTTGGATTTCAATCGTCTGTAATGCTCGATTTGAGGGCTTATATTGTCTTCCATTGGATCTTAATGCATGCATAACCTCGGGTCTGATTCTTGTAAGATCAGATAATCGACCACCCCCTATTGCTTTCTTGTGCTTTCGAAGAACCTGCAACAACCCTTCCTCTTGATCAAGCGTTAAGTGAGAGGAAATAATAACAGGAAAAGAGTTGTTCACACCTAGAAATGCATGCTTCAAATGAGGAGGAAGCTGCTTCAGTTCTTGTTTAGGTGTGTCTTCTTTTTCTTCTGTATTATTATTTTCTACACTATACAAAGTTTTCTCTACACATGTATCTATTACATCTATTCTAAAGCAATCATCGCAGTCCATAGGTAGTTTACAAGATTTTAACACATCGAAAACAACTTCTTCTTGACCAACTCTCAATGTCAGTTTCCCATCATGTACGTCAATTAGAGCTCTTGCAGTTGCAAGAAAAGGTCTTCCAAGGATCAATGATCCCTCTCTTCCTTCATCAATATCAAGGATGACAAAATCAATTGGGAAAATAAATTTTCCTATCTTGACTAGTACGTCTTCTATAATTCCTTTGGGATATTTGATCAATCGATCGGCTAATTGTAGAGACATCCTTGTTGGCTTGAGCTCCCCCATACCTAGCATTTTAAAAACTTCATAAGACATCAGATTTATGCTAGCCCCTAAGTCAGCTAAAGCTTTTTCAAAATTTAGATTGCCAATATTACAAGGGATGGAAAAACTCCCTAGATCCTTAAGCTTTGGTGGCAATTTGTTTTGAATGATTGCGCTGCATTCTTCAGTCAGTTTTACCATTCCTTGATCATCAATCTTTCTTTTTTTGCTCAAGATTTCTTTTAAGAATTTTGCATAACTAGGCATTTGAGCAAGCGCTTCAGCAAAGGGGATGTTTATTTGAAGCTTCTTGAAGACGTCTAGGAATTTCATGAAGCTTTGATCATCTTGCGTCTTTTTTAATCTTTGTGGAAATGGAATGGGTGGAATATAAGGTTTTACCTCTTCCTTCTCTACTAGATCGATAATAGGAGCCTTTTTCTCCTCTTCCTTCTCCTTCTTCTTCTCTTTTCTGGAGTTGTCCTCCAACTCTCTTCCACTCCTCAAGGTGATGGCGGGTTTGTCCTCCAATTCTCTACCACTCCTTAAAGTAATGGCTTGTACCTGCTCTTTAGGGTTTTTCTCTGTGTTACTAGGTAACGTACCTTGAGGTCTAGCTGCCATCATGTTTGCAAATTGTCCCATTTGGATTTCCAGGTTCCTTATCGCAGCTTGTTGGATTTTGTTGTGTTCTCTTGTTTCGTTCATGAAATCCATGTGCGATTTTGAGAGGGCGGTAAGGAGGTCATCATGGGACTTTTTCTCCGGAGGTAAGAAACCTGGTGGTGCATTTAAAGTATTATTAGAATTACCATATGAAAGATTTGGATGATTTCTCAACCTGTTATCGTAAGGATTTGAATATGGGTAATTCCTCCTTTGTTGATTCATCACATAGTTTACTTGCTCCAAAGTTTGTGGATTTGCAGGATCTAACATCCATTCTCCTACTCCGTGTGGTTCGTTGCATCTGTCACAAGTTTGCATGATAGAATTTACAGACTTAGTGGTTAACAAATCTAACTTTTGTTACCATATTGTCAACCTTGGCGTTGAGTGCAGTGATGGCATCAATCTCATAAATCCCAACAGTCTTTCTTCTTTCGGAGCTGCTTTGATAATGGCTATTGCTGGCCATTTCTTCTATTAAGTCATATGCCTCGTCGATCTCTTTTCTTTCGAAGGAACAGATAGCATGGGTCTATTGGCCTGGCCATTTTCTTCTATTAAGTCATGATGCCTTCGTCGATCTTTTTCTTTCGAAGGATTCCTCCTGCAAGCTGCATCCAAAGTAATTTTAATATTAAGGTGACAATGAAATTATAGAAAGTTTGGACTTGTAACCATTTGGTAAAACTATGGTGAGGACACTTTCGCAATAAATTCTTAATCTTTCCAAAGCCTCAAATACAAGCTTTCTTGATCCATAGAATGAGCAAAAGTCCATAATCTCATTTCTTAATTTAATTGTTTAAGAAGAATGGAAAGAATTAGCCAAAAATTTCTGGGCCTAATTCTCTCCCAAGTTGTAAAAAACTTCCAGCCGGACAAGATTGTAACCATGCTCGTGTTTATCCCTAAAGTAAAAGGAAGAAGTCTTAATTTAATGCATCTTCAGAAACACCATTTTGTTTGAACGTGTCAGCAAATTTCCAGGAAATTAGTGATATGAGCATTAGGATCTTCACTAGGAAGTCCCCATATTGGACTAGAAGTAAAGAGCATTTTGGATGGTTTAATTTCAAAATTATTTGCTTCCACTCTTGGTCTAGTGATGCTGGAGGTGGCTCCATTGAGAGAAGGTGTGGTATAATCTCGCAATGTGCGAACATTTTGTTGTACGATCTGAGGATTTGCAGCAAGAGGTATGTTTGGAAATTGAGGATTAATTCCGTCCATGTTTGATTGTTGTTCGGATCTGTTTTCTTGTGCTCTCCTTGCTGCGTTGTTCTTTCTGCAGGTTTTCTCAATTTCGGGATCAAAGATTAGAGGTTCTGTCCTTCTAGATATTCTTTGCATAAATCCTGAGATAGTCTATAGAGAAATTAAATGAATAAAAACAATTAAATAAGTAAATGTCTAAAGTAATAACAAGATAATTCGTATTGATATTGGTATTGCCAATCCCCGGCAACGGCGCCAAAAACTTGACAGCTTATTTTGCAAGTGTACGAATCGCTACAAGTAACAAGTAATATAGAGTGAAAGAGTATCATATCCACAGGGATTGTATATTAAGTACCAATTTGTGTTATCTTGTTTTTATTTAAAACGATAATTAAGAAGATTTATTGTATAAATGTAAAGAAAACAAAGAGTCAGTTAAACAAAAATTGATTAAAAGAAATCAAGAAAGTAAAGCTACTAGGGTTTTGAATTTCAGTTAACTCTATCTCAATTATTTCATTAGTTCATTGATCAAGTTTAATTATTCAATGTAGGGGAAACAACCCAAAAAATCCCTCACTAACAAGCTCTCCAAGATGGTATGTTAGCTATTGCTTAACCCGGTCTAATTACCTATCTCCAATAGCGCAATCAGAACATGAATACCAATCATTAAAGTTTTTATATGGTGTTGTTTTGTGAATTCATACCTAAGGTCATTAACTTAGTGAAAACCCCCCATGAGTCAAAACCGTATAGGCTTCCGTAGCAAGGTTTGTATTCTCATTATTTTATAACCTTTTCATAAATCCAAAGATCCTTCTCCCGATAGTGAATAATTGAAAATAAATCAATCTAGGGGAAAATTCTGCCTAAGAAGCATTAAGTCATTAATAAATTCATACTTGAATAAGGATAAAAATAAAATCTAAATGCATAAATTGGAAAAAAGAGATCTAAAGCTACATGCAACACCTAGCTAATAAGGAGAATTTAGGTATACCATAGTACTTAATAAAACTTAAATAAAACCCAATAATACTTGATAAATATTCCATAATCAATAAGAATAATGAAAGAAATGAGGGAAAAAGCCCTAAGAAAATATTTCTACACGCCATTAAACTTGTACCCAAACACTACCTCCTCTCTCCTCTCATCTCTCTTATTTTCTCTCAACTTTCTCTCAAAACAAACACCTTGGCCCAACCATTTTTCTCCCATTTTCACCCATCTGCACTTGTTATCTTCTCATGAAATTTTGATTTGTTAATATCCTCAAGAAGATCTTTCAGTTGATGTAAATTTTGTTGCAAGATTCCAAGTAAATCAAGGTGAAACCCTCACTTAACACTCTGCCTCTTTCTCTTTCCTCTTTCTTTTATTTTTCTTTTAAATCTAAGGCTAAAATCATGCATCATATGTCACATTCACTATGTTTTACAATAATATGTTTTACAATAAAATTCATGTTCATGTTTTAGTTGGTAAAAATATCTTGTTTTTTTTTTTTTTTGATTATAAGATGTGAATCCTCCAAAAAGTAAAGGAAAGGAAATTTTGGAGGGTTGATTTGTTAAGGTTTGTACATTTTCAACGTTTAAGAGATTTTTAGGTTATAACTGTTTGATTTCTGTGAAATATGGTTCAGGTTCTTATTTTTATGCCATGTATGTTGAGATCCATGCTTAAGCTTGCTTATTTTTGCATTATTGTGAAGTTATATTTTACCATGTGATATTATTTTTCACATGCTTGGAGCATGTGTGTGCATGAGGTGTAATCCCATGCATTTAGATGTAGAGTTGTAGTGTGCAACCTTTGATTTAGGATGCTTGTACATAGGATAAAGGGTGTTACACTTTTATAGTGTGAGATTACATAAGGATAAGGTGTGGGTGTGAGACTGTACTTTTTATTCTTGTAGTGCATGTGACTTTTTGTTTGTCTTTTAACTTTATTTTTCTCATTAAAAACAAGGTTGAGATTTAATTGGCTTTTTCAATCTAAATGCTAGAATTAACATTACACATATGCAAAATATATGACTGTCTAACATAAAATACACTGTATTACCAAAACACGGTCTAATAACATGACAAATTATGAAAATGCCCCTATGGCATTATAATTCACCTAAATGATCATAAATCATCCATAATTTATAATAAATCATGCTAATACGTAATTAGACTCTAAAATATTGAAATACATGAAAATAACATGTTATGAAAATTAGGATGTTACAGGGGAGGTCGTCTCTATGCTGAGAATTGCACAATTGGTTTTAAGGAAGCCTCTTGCCCATACATGAAATCAAAATATGTTTCCAAAGAAGATTTTTTTCAAATTTGAATCACCACCACCATTTGCCTAAAAGGGTTGTGTTCTTATTTTTGAACACCTGAATATCTAACCCATAATGCTTTTTCTCCCTAATTACAACATCCACGCTATCCAGTTTAGAGGCTTTTCACCGTCAAGGCCTTTACGCATAAAAGCTTCTCTGAATAGATTCTAGTTTATGAGTATATTTTGTGAGGCTCTAAATTCATACGGTAAAATGGAGAGGTAAAAAAGATAAAATAAATATAAATAAAGTTATTTTTCCACCCATTGAAAATGTCTAGCTTTTCAGTGGGAAAGTTTTGCTTCAACCTTTTCAATTATAAGAACCAAGTAGATAGACTCTTTGGGTTGGCACCAATAGTTATGCCAAACAGCCAAAGTTTCTGATTAGCCTTTTAAAGGCATTAGCCTTTTAAAGGCAATTTGGTTCAATTGCTATGTTTTAAGTTGAGTTTCGGTTCAATTCAGAGAAGTCTCTAGACCATCGGTTATTTTTGTCTAATTTGATGAGAATTAAGGAGGTTTCTCTTGGATTTTCTATTATTTATTCTAATAAAATTTATAGTCATAGGAATAGTTTTTTTTTTATATATAAACAACCAGTATTCAGACCCTATTACTAGGAATCGCCAAGAAAACATTTGTAAGTTGACATGTCCAAAATTATAATTATTTTGCTTATATTTTGTTGGGAATCAGCTGGATAGAGCTAGAATAACAGACCAGAGAAGATTGCCGCAGAATTAATGTGTGAAGACAGATTGAAATCAGTCTTCAAGTGGGAGATTGTCAAAGTTAGGTGTACCTGTACCCATAACACGTGAATGAAAAGAACAACAACAATAGGGTGAAAGTTGGAAGCAACTTTCCTTTGACAAAGATGGAGAGCCGTGAATGAGTTATACACCGCTCTCTCATCTTTCTCTCCTATAAATAGGAGAGGATTTGCCTCCGTTTAAATACACCAACAAGACAGAGAGAGTGAGATCAATTGTGAGAGAACAATAGTGAGAGAGAAAAATAGAGTGATTATTCAAGAAGAAAAATTAAGCTTAAGTTTTTCAGGTATTCTTGAATAGAGAGTTGTGAGTGTTTTTCTCCTATAAAAGATCTGTGGCAGTCCGGAGACGTAGGCAAGATTGGCCGAACTCCGTTATCAAATTGTGTGTTATTATTTTCTTTTGCTCTGCTCCCCTCGTAAAGCGGAAATTTTGCGTAATTTTTTTTCCCACTATTTTTCATAAATGGAAGTGCAAGTATCTAATCATTATATATTGTTAATCATATTACTGTTCAGGAGGCTGTTGTATTAGAGTTTGAAATTGAATCTCAGCTGAAGAGGGGTCCAGTGGAACCATGCCCAGTTGTGCTACTTCAGATATATCTACAAGAAGTTGGTGGTATCAAAGAAGTAGCAAAGTGTATAGTCTCGGTTCGTAGGCATCACTTTTCTTTTGTCAAATCAGCACCTCTAGCTCGTTCGTAGGCATCACTTTTCTTTGGTCATTCCAGCACCTCTAGCTCTTCTGCTACATCTCGCCTTCAAGAACAAGCTGGTGAAAATATTGATGCTCGAATTAAGAAGATATTAGACTAATGAATGAAAGAGTTGGAGATGCGATATCAACAAGAGTTCTAACAGCAACAACAAATTATGCAAGAAAAGTTGCAGCAACAGTTACAACAACAAGTTGCAGAGCTTGTTCGCAATCATTTGACACGTATGGCTCCACCAGTTCATACTTCAGAGC